AACCAATGAGGGTAAAAAGTCAACAGTATTGACTCCAGGTCCCTGCAGTGTTTCGTAACTCGATATTAACGTTACTAGCATTGCCAAATTTGAGTGAACCAAAGAGGAAGTCGTTTTCTGGCTGACTTTTTATTTCAGATCATAATTGATCTGAAACAAAAAGTAACGAGAAGGCGGTTTTTAGTGGTTGCGCATATTTAAACGTTTATTTAGGCGCAATCAGACGGAGCGTGCAGCTTGGCGCTTTCAGAAAAGCATAAAACGGGAAAAGGAAACGGCGAGGCACAACAACTGTTGTTACGTTAGAGTTGCTGTGAGTCAGTAATATTGATTTATTTTTTCTCAGTTACTATGGAAGAAGTACAGCAGGGCAGCAATGGCACTGAGTCACAGACTGCAACCATTCCCACTACCATCACATCCTCTCAGTTCTCACAGATAGCGCAGGAGGTAACTAATATATGCCATTAAAAAGAAAACCTGCCATTCCGTGGAACTATACAAGCTCGTTTAGCATTAAGAAGTGAGCACAGTTGCGACTTTAAACTGTGGTTAGTACTCGGCTTATAATGTAGTACTAATCCAATTCAAAATGACGCAAACCCTGCCCAAGTGCTGCAAAAAAAGTTGATATCTATAATCTTTTTTAAATTGAAAAGCTACAGATCAAAACTATCACACATAAAACTAATATAACATTATTTAAAGCGCTTGATTTTTATATTTGTATGTTTCCACTAAGAATTTTTCTGTGTGAGAACTAACATTGAGTTTGAGTTTTTGCAAATTGAGTGCCAAAAAAATCTCACAAAGTAATATAAATCTATCAATTCTGTTTGTAATTATTCATATGTTTCCCTAGTTTCTTCAAATGTAAAAATTTCTGCATTAAAAGTTATTTAAATATATAAATTAATTGAATTCGTGTTTAAATATATATTTAATTCAAGTATGATATCACTGTGTTTAAAATAGTAGAATTATTTTTTGTAAATTACCTTTATGTGGCATTTTATGTGCTGAACTGCACTGTGCAATAATTTTGATTGATTTGATGAACAAAGACAATGAGTCTATTTTAAATCAATTAAACTCACAAGAGCATCCTTGGTCCAGCCCCTCATTTCTATGGATACAGCTGATTCAACATATGTAATCAATAAAATGAGTAACTCATTCCATAATAACGATGTGCATTTACATTATCAATATATTTGTTTTGAATTTTAAAAATCTTTAGTAACCTATTTTGATAATCTTCCACTGATTTAAAAACAATATTGTTATTAAGTTGGATCACTTTTGGAGCTCTAATTGTACAGACTGTTTACAAATATAAATTATGTATTCATAGGGACGCTTCATGGTAAAGAATGGTGTTGTTGTCGCTGTCTTTCCAAATTAAGTTTTCTAATGTCTGAAGTATGTAAAATAACGCGTTACATTTTTATAATAAGAACATTGCATTTATGACTCTTGGCTTCAAATCTTTTTTAATGTGTAAGTAAAAAAAAAAAAATCACTTAAAACGTAAGTGTAAATGAGATTACACATGGTTTGTGTGTTTGTTTTTACCTGTTTAGGAAATTTTCTTAAAATGATGTTTTATGCAGCAAACCATTTTATGTCTTTATTTTATTTCTATTTGAATTTCTCTAGATGTCATTGGGAGGCTCTTCTGTGGCTGTTGTGCAACTGCCTGGGGGTCAGTTTCAGGTTCAGGGAGTGATCCAGTCTGCACAGTCATCAGTCATTCAGTCCCCTCAAGCACCGAGTGTAACGGTGAGCACAGCTGCTTTTCTTTGCACTCATGTTTTTCATTCTCACTGTTCTAATCTAGACAGGAAAATTGCAAACCACATTTTCTTCCATCATATATATCAAATTGTCTTGTCTACGCTCTAAACCTTCAAGTAAAAAGGGTATAGTTAAACAGTTGGCATAAAGATAAGATTTCTTGACTGCTGTGTGAACTTTTTTTTTTCAGTCATTATTTTAATATGGTTGTAGTGAGTAGTTTTCTAGCTTTACAGTACTATAGCACACCTTCTCAATCAAAATAAGATTTTTGTTCACATGTAAGAAAGGATATTGTACTACTACTTGCTCTTATAACTTCACCTTCTACTGCCAAGGCCCAGGGTAGTGATAGTGAAGATTCACAAGACTCCTCAGATAGTGGAACAACCCAGAAGACCAGAGAAATACTGGCAAGGCGGCCGTCATACAGGTAAGAAGTTGATCAAATTAAATCCCAGAAAGCGCAGCATTAATGTGATTTGAGAAATCACTCTTAATTATTTTGTCCTGCAGAAAGATCTTCAATGACCTTTCATCTGAGGAAACAACACACATAGAAGGAAAGGATAGCAGCCCAGCATCCACAGGAGTGACAGGTGTTACTGTACAAAGCACACCAATCTACCAGACCAGCACCGGCCAGTACAGTAAGAACGGCTCCTTCAGCTTAAAGCGAATACATAGATACTAACAACAACATTGGATGTGGGGATGTCTGAAGCTCACTTGATATTTGTAATTAATTTTAGTGTGCAGTACTTTTGAATTCTGTAATGGAGTGAAATATGCAAACAAGTACATCTAATGAAATAAGAAATATTGTTTCCTGTCATGTTTTAACTTTACTACCAAGAACGTGTTTTTTGTTGCTGTTGTACCGTACCAAGTTCTAATTCTTTTCTTCATAATTAGTTACCATAGGTGCTAATGGCACAATCCAGCTGGCATCTCCAGGGTCTGAAGGCATTCAGGGTCTACAGGCCGTCACAATGGCCAACTCTGGTGCAGCACAACAAGGAGCTACCATCCTGCAGTATGCCCAGACACCCGATGGCCAGCAGATACTCGTGCCTAGCAACCAAGTCGTAGTACAAGGTGAGCATTTAGCTTATTCATCAAATTTTGTTTTGCCAGTATTATTTATTTATCTTATTTTGTAATTGAAATGGGCAACAGGTTAAATGTTTCCCAAAAAGCATTTAAATAGTATTCAGCTACGTTAATAACAAATAAAAGCAATTCCAGAAAAACTCTATTAATCATCGCCCATATGAGAGTTATTGACTCCAAGGGCTACTGGCAAAAAAAACAGTTTCAAAGTATTGAATGTATAAAGGAAAATAAAAAAAAAGGGTAAGAGCAAAGATTCTCTTACAAATAACACATCCAAAGTAAAATATGTTGTGGCGTAGTCACAATATAAAACTCCCAGTCAAATGCTGAAAGTTGTGACAGAATTCATACGATCCATGTTTAGGTGCCGGAGGAGAGGTGCAAACGTACCAGATTCGGACAGCGCCCACATCTGCCTCCCTTCCTCAGACTGTTGTGATGAGCTCTCCTGTTGGACTGTCCCAGACTAAAACTGATGATCCAACACTAAAGAGGGAAATCAGGCTTGCAAAAAACAGGTAAATACAAAGTTTGGTGGCTGACCTAAAATGCCCACAGCAGTTTGGACAGAACAATGTTTTCATTCTGAAAAAAAAAATAGATCTTTCAAAGGTGCCTTTGCTGATTGGTTAGCAGATCATTAATGAGAGTTTAAACACTGCTTCTAAACTCCCAGCACAGTTTTTAATGAGTCAGGATAAGTACAGCATTTACACAGATTATTTTCTAGAACTTTTTAAAGTACAGAAACATTTGGTTTCCATTCATAAGACTTTTTCCTGCTTCCATTTTCTAAAGTGAAAAATATCTTTATCTGCGTTTTTAAGTTGTTGCTGAGCAGAAAAGGTTTTTCAGTAGTCACGCAATTTGGCTGCTGCGGCTACTGGACATGATGTTATCTGGCTAAGATGGGCCTGAATCAGCTCAGGTCCCCTCTAGACACAGAAAAAAAAAACAATCAGCCAAAAAAACTCATTATTAATTCATATTCATTCAGTTGTTTTCTGTGTGAGGTGAACCTTGCTTTTTCACACCATCGTGTCGCTATGAGGATTTGTACTTTGAAAAAACAATGCATTCATTCCATGGTTTTAAAGTTGGAAGTACTGATGGTTTTCCTGGTTTCAGGGAGGCTGCTCGCGAATGTCGGCGGAAGAAAAAGGAATATGTCAAATGCCTGGAAAACCGTGTTGCAGTTCTGGAGAACCAAAACAAGACACTGATTGAAGAACTGAAAACATTAAAGGATCTTTACTGCGTTAAAACAGGATAAACTTTTTCAATCCATATCGAGGCGGTGTGAAATGACACAGCTCTCATTCATTTGGACAAGTCTGGGTTTCTGGGAACACTTCATTTCAGGCTGAAAGCCTCCAGTCCTTTTCTTCTTCTTTTTTTTTTACTCTGATATAAAGTGACTTTTGGCAGTGAGATTTACTGGACAAATTGGCCATTTTCCAACGGCTGTTTTTTTTTTAAGCAAAAAAGAAAGAAAAAAAAATGCTAACGCTATAACATTTATAGTTGTGTACATTTTTAATACTGGGAGGTTTGAAATTGTGAGCTTTAACGTTGAGTCTCAGTTTCCAAATGTATCCCTTTCCTATTTTCTTGTGTTTTTAAACCTGTTGCTATTGGAGTTAATTGACCGGCATTTGCAGAATTTTGACTGTATAAATATCACAAAGATGCAATTTCTTTTAATTATGTGAACCAGCAATCCCCCTCTCTTCCCTTTTTAAAAAGATGTTACAACTGTCATTCCTTATATTTGTGCAATGGAGTATAAAGGGTATCAGAAATATTAAATGTGGTTTGGTTGTTACTTGGCAGTTACTTTGACAATCAGGGAAAAAAAGCACAAAGTCCAGGTAATATTTATTTGTACATCTTGGGAGGAGTGAGAATGAACAAACAGTATATGAAATGTTGCTGATTCGGTGAGTAAATAAATATATTTTCTCTCAGTATAATGTGTGGCTGTTTGTTGCATTTCTTGTGCATGAAAATGTTGGTAATTTTTGCTCCTTAAAATTTGATCTGTTGCTATGAGTTGTTTCTTCTGTTGATTAAGAAATGTTTCACCATTTGGTCTGAATTTAAAAGATAATTTATTTGAAAAGAAATAAATTAATAAGTAAGTCTTAACTAACTAGAAACAACAACAAAAAAGCATATTTCATTTAATCGAATATCCCATGATGTGTGGCCTGATCATTAAAGAAACCTCCGGAGCCTCTGTGTGTTTTAGGTGAAGCTCAGCGAAGCCAGCTGCCTCCAGGTCTCTCCATGTCGCTCTGGTGACCATGCAGCCATCTCCAAGGAGGCACCACAGAGGCTCGAAGACGTACTGACAGAAGTATGTCCACGTGGAAGGATCAGACACAACGTGCTCCAGAAAATACAAGGCTCCTCCCTGAAAGAGAAAACCAACAGCAGGTGGGGTTTCTGAGTGCTCAGGTTTGATCCGGTACAGACCCGACATCCTTCTGGTTCTGACTGGTTAAGTCTGCAGTGAGGCTTTCAGCAGTTTAGCCTGAACTCAAACATTACAGGGATCTAAAGTGAAGGGGAAATTGTTTAAAGCCTGCACCAGTCGTGTATTTGCTTTTGCGTCATGCTTGCCTTAGTTTACTTTGAGGCATCCCTGATTTTCTATGAAATGTGTTTTCCAACAAGGATCTAAACTAGCACAGAGATCTAGACTGCCTTGATAAGAAGACATGTTGTGTTGGAATTTGAACCAAAGAAATGCAATATCAGCACAGTAAAGTCCTGCTGGGTTGAGTCGTCTTACTCTTTAGAACTATACATACAGATGAAAAGTATCATTTTAAAAATGTATGATTAAATATGCACAACTAGATTATTTTTAGGTAATACAATGTCAACATTTAATCTGTATTAAATATTAAATTAAGTGGTGCTTAAGAAATAAATGGTGACTTGCAAATTACGCTACACACATAAAGATAAACTTTACATTTTCCTTTGCAGATATACACAAGGTTTACATATTCCTCATTAAGAACAACTCAACCTCAGACCGATTTGATTCAAATAACTGGATTTAGAGCTGGACTTTGGGCCAGTTTAGCACAGGAATATTCTCATTATATTGCAGCTCTGGTTATCATCAAGCCATTGTTAAGGTGAACCTCAGCTGCGGTCTTAAATCTTTTCCAGTCTCCAGCAGGTTTTCTTTTAGGATTACCCTGATTAGCTCCAAACAGTTTACTTTGAAGCCTGACCAGCCTTCCTGAAACATAATGGTGCTGCCACCACTATGTTTCACCATAGGGACGGTGTGTTCATTTGAAATAACAAAATGACTTTGAGCCCTATGTCCAAAATGGGGCTCAGTCATTTTGTTATTGTCTGACTGGAGAACTTTCTTCAAAATGTTTTCTGTCTCATCCATACACGGTGAGCAGCAAACATGGCATTAGGACTTTTCAACAATGGCTTTATGCCTGCAATCTTTCCAAAGGCCAGATTTGCAAAGTGCATGACTGAACAGATTTGCATTACTGTGATTTTCCTCTTTTTTTTCCTGGTTTAAGTTTTCTTGTATTCACTGATTATTTCTCTAACAAACATCTGCGTCCGAGAACAGCTGCATTTATGTAGCGATTAGATGACATTCAGGAGGTGCAGTCAGTAGGTTGATTTCTGAAAGCAGTCGGTTGCTCAGGACGCACTGGTCTCTCTCACCACATCCCAGTTAAACGTGTTGTTTAGCTGTGCAAGTTGCTGTAGGTATCAGAAAACTCACACTTCTGAGAATGCGTCGGGCCTCCTGCAGGACCCTTCCCACGTTGTCCACAGAGCACAGCACCAGCGTGCAGACCACGACGTCCACTGACCCGTCCTCGACTCCTGTCATGTCCTCACCAGAGAGAACTAACACCTCGTCATAAGTCAGGTGCTCGTTTGCCTCCATGCTCATACGCAGGTACGGCTCCATGTGCGGATTGGGGTCGGTGCAGATCACCGTGCAGCCGTAGGGGTAAAACCTGAAGTTTGCTCCACTGCCACAGCCGATTTCCAGCAGCCGCAGAGTCCCGTCAGCGTTTGCGAACCTTCCGAGGTTCCGAAACAGTTCTCTCTTCAGCTTGTGGGTTTTATCGTTGTATGAAAATGTTACGTTGTAGGCGAGGAAGGGAAACACTCGTTTGTACATGCCACGCAGGCCAATAACCCGCAGTAGATAAAAAGGGGTGCTGAATGCGAAACAAAGTAGTCTGCAAAATTTCATAAAACAAGGCCGCATGTTCCCTTGAAAAACGGTTTAAGTGCAACAACGACTGAAAAGACTAAAGCAGATGATAAGATTAAATTGTAGTAGTCTCTTTCTACCACTAGATGGCAACAAAGGACAACATTGCGGTAGTTTCTCCTATTTTCCTTCCTTTTGCATCCAATGAGGATCTGAGTTAAGTTTGTGTGACCCAAACTCAATCAGGAATAAATTATTCAGCAACAATTTTACATTTTCAAACAATCTTTTAATCTTATTTGATTACATGGTTCGTAGTGGCTTCACAGATAAGTGATAGCACAGCAATTTATATTCCCTATAAATATAAAGTAATATAAACATTAGTATTGTATGTTGTCTTTAAACGGATACAATCTTTACAAAATACATTTTCTTGAATACAAAAATTAAGATAAGTGCTCTTTTCTCCTCATAATCATCTCAAAAGCAATAGGCACAATACAAAGCTTGGCATATTCATATACTGGTAGTCAAGATAACGTTTTATAAAAGTTATTATCAGGAACTTATTTCACTGCATAGCCTATTATGTGCGGATTGATCATAAACATAAGTTTTGCTTGAATGTGTCTGAGTTTGAGCTCAGAGAATCCAGCTTCCTCCAAGTATTTCCAGGTTTCCCGAGTGACTTCGCACCCGTCCCCAAAGTAGTACCATGCAGGCTGGAGGACGTGCTGGAAGAAGTACGACCACGTCAAGGGGTCCGCCACCACATGCTCCATGAAGAAGAAGGCGCCGCCCTGAGAGGCAAAGATTTAATATTTGTAAGTATTATAAAGCTTATTACAACTTAAGTCAAATCAATTTGTTTTTTTAGTCTTTGTGGCAGAAATTGGTTTAGTTCATTATTTCACGGGGAACTTTATACATTTACTACAAAAGCTAAACTTTAAACCATGCAAAATGCTAAACTTGGATAACAAGGTCTGATGAGAAACATTTTTACTTGAACATTTACAAGTTTTAGGTCAAATTGTTTTATATTTTAACAGGTGGAAATGAATGACATTATTACTGCCCTACATGGACTCTAATGCCTGACACAGCATATCTACATAGTCTGGTCCTATTTTTCAGTACCTATTAGCTAAGCAGGGGTTTCCCATAACAAGATGCACCAAGGTTTTAAAAAGTTACACTTTAAAAACTGCTACAAAGAAAAATTATGACCTTAGTTTTCTTCTTTTAAAAAGATACCAGGGAATTTAACAGAGTATCAGAGTGTCCGTATGAAGCAAAGACTAACAAAGCACCTCCTTCCTCCACCATTTGCAGTGGTTACCTGGCTGACAGCTACTTTTCCACAGATGGCAAATTATTTGGAAGTGATGATTTGAAATAGGAACAGGTTGGTCAGAAAGTAACACAACATGGCTGAGTGTGTGTGATTAAAATGTAACAATAGTGAGCCATTTAAAAATATTTTTGCAATTATTAGTCTGTAAGTAGTATGTTTTAAATAAAAGAACAAGACATGCTACATTATTGATAACTAAAACATAACACTCATAGGATCCCAAAACACTAAACAACTAAAATACGACAATCGCTCTTTCCCAATCCTTCTGTTTCTCTCCAAAGTGTTAATATGCTCCGTCTGAGAAGCATTCATTTCTCTGCCAAAAAATAAATAAATGAGTTTAAGGCATGTTCTTATGGCTTTACATTTGAATGCCAGTTCCTGTGCAACAGGTTACATAACTGAAACCCGATATTTCCAGTTCAGGCAATGGGAGGGAATAAGAAGCCATGATAAGAAAAGAAAATATTTGCAGCTCAGCAAAATCTACAACTAATTAATGACAGCAGGGTGAGTCAACAACTGTTTGCCATCAGTTACTGTGAGTTAATGACTGAGAAAAAAAACTTTCAAAATATAGTTACAGTTTCTTAATGTTTTTATTCCATTGTTTTATTCATTCAGACTGATGAAAATTAAGACCCTAAGTTTTAATATGTCCCCACACCTCACAAATGAGCTCATCTGATCTTCAGCCCATCATCCAGGTTCATAATTACGTCACATTGCACAAGGACTAAGCTGAGCAGAACCTATCACACGTTTCTTAACAACGTGGCTGCAGTTTCCTCCTGGTTGGTTCTGAACTACTGAAATACCCCCCCAGTTCAAAAACCTCTTACTGGTCTCAGGATGCGGTGCGCCTCTCTCAGGGTCTGCGGGATATCCCCTACCGTGCACAGCACCAGGGTGCACACAACAACGTCCGCAGACTCGTCCTTTACTGACGCCATGTCTTCCCCAGAGGCCACCACGAATTGGTCAAAGGTGAGGTGGTCGTTCTGCTTCATGCTTTTCTCCAGATATTTCTTGAAGTGAGGGTTCGGATCGGTGCAGATCACCTTGCAGCCAGGCGGGTAAAACTCAAAATTTGCCCCAGAACCGCAGCCTATTTCCAGAAGTGTGAGTTTTTGACCAGGCTTGGTGAACTCTGACAGACTGCGAAACAACTCGGTTTTCTTATTGTGCATGATCTTGTTGTAGTTCACCGATATGCGTTGCTGCAAAAAGGGAAAGACGCGTTTATAACCTTCGTACAGACCGAGGGCTTTGATGATGTGCATCGGGATGCACAAAGCGTTCACCACCAGGGTCCAAAAGCTGATTGCAAGACTCATCTTTACTCACGATCCCGTCCTGCTGGCGCGCCGTGCGGAACCAGCGTCTGAGTTAAATACAAGCCGTCAAAGTGAAACAGGGAAGGGCCAGCGCGACGTCCGCTGCGGATTTTCAGAATAAAAGTTGTCAAGTGCGCATATGGGGGGCTTGGTTTGAAGGGAAGTGAAATACTTGAAAAGCTCACATATTTGTTTCGTTATGTGTAACATTTGAAGTGTATAATGACCTCTGTTTAAACCTTTAATAAGAACTTTAGTCATAACTTTACATAAGGCACCCAGATGGCTTTGGTGAGTTGTTGGTAAACAATTTCAAGGTGATTTAAAACCTTAAAATTAGTTCATTTTTCTAATACGTATTGTCTTGAACTGATTATTATTATTATTATTATTATTATTATTATTATTATTATTATTATTATTATTATTATTATTATTATTACCTATGTAGCACCTTCATAGATTAAATGCTTTGTATTAAAGCCACTAGCAAAACAAGTTGTAGAGAAATCAATTAGTGTTGTCTTCAGCAACAACATCCTATTTAATTGTGCTGTATTTTATTTTCACGGTTGTTTGACTTGTTTTTCAATGTGTTTGTCTGTATTGGAGGACTGTGTTCTGGGTTTGCCCTGCATTTCACTGCTGTAAATGCAGGGCAACCACTGGAATACAATTTCTTTACATTCAGGCCAGAAAAGCTCCTGGAAAGGTTAATGGCGTGCAGGAAATGGATGCAAAGATAGTTTATTACAGATATTTATAAAATATTGAAGACAATATTGTTTATATATTTTAGTTAAAGAAATAATACAGCATGTGTGTATAAATAATGATTATAAGTTACTTTAAATTTGCAAAACAAAAATTAAAATGACTAATAAATTTAACTAAATTATTACTTTAAAATATAATAAAAATTAACCCCATTTGTCTGTTACCTGTTTATGCAACTCTTGTAATTGGGTCCCACCGTGAACCTGCAAGAATAAGTGTTTAGATGTTTTCATTGTACTCATAGATTAAATATTGCCACCCATAAGTAAGTATATTATTTAAAGTAGGCTTTTTCTATCATTTTGATTTTTGCTTGTGAAGTTTATGCTGAACTTGTGAAGTTTGTTGCTCGATGTTACATCATCCTTATGGCTCTGCAGACCCCCCAAGATTTCAGTTTTTATTTCCCTTTTTGGACGTGTTGAGCGCAGTTCTTCATTCTCCCACGAGAGGGCGACAATCATAAATATTAGGTTGAAAATACTCAGAAATCAAAATAGTGACCAAATGTGAGCATTGTAGACCAATGTGTTTCTTTTTTATTTTCATATAAAGGATTTTCAAAAAGTGGGCAATGCTACATTGGACCTCATAAAGTCACACACTGTTTAATGAATAATATATCAAACAGGAATATATATTTAAATAAGTATTTAAAACCACAAAAGACCATGCCAAGTGCAATTTTCATATATTTATCAAATAGGAGCACATAATATTTGAAACACATAAACAGTAATATTTAATATAAAGAACAAACATTCATTTTATAGACTAGACGCTCATAAATGTATTTAAATAATCGTATTCCAGTGGTTAAAAAATTTACCTTGTTTTCCTAACGGTATGGTAAAATGATGCATCTTAAGTTTTTTTATCCGACCTTTATTGATTCAGAGGCACATAAGCCTGACTCAAAAAAATTTGAAGCACTTTTATTTCAAATGGATTGACAAAAGTTACATACTTTGTATTTGTATTTTCAAAACAGTAATAAACGAAACTCACACATAGATAAACTCAGCTGATACAAAGACTGGTGTTTTCAATACTTCTATACAATACATCTGAAAACGTTTTGATAAAATATAGAAAATGATCTTAATCAAAGGTTGTTGTTTTCAGAATATTCAAATTTCTAATATGACTTTATTTCTATGTTTGCTGATAAAGAGGCATTGATGGAGTAATTTATTTACACAAAACATCATTAGTATGTAATAATGGAAACCATAAAATACATTATTTAATATCTAAAACATTTTGGTATCCAAAAGACACAGACAGAGCCCAACATGAATGGTACATAGACTGCACTTCTGCTACTAATAAAAATTATATATTCTAACCACTTATTATTATTTTGTAGATGGCTGCCTGCAAAAACATTTTTGCATTTTTTTTAGCAGATTTTAATTGAAGCAATGATGACATTGATAATCTTGATGCATATAATGACAATTATCATGACATATTTTCCCTTTTATATCGTCAAAGTTCAGATGAAGGCAAATGCAGCTGGCATTTTTTTTATAACAAACTTATACAATCAATATTTATGTTATAAAAACACGAAA